TCCATCAAAATTTGCCTTGCTACAGTTTAGAACTTGAATCTGTGGACCAGTTTTGTCTTTTTCCATAACTATTTTAAAAATAATAGAACTATGGTCACTGGTCCCAAAGTGCTCCCCGCTGTCACCTCAGTCACCTGTCCTGCCCAAGAGTAGGTCAAGTTTTGCCCCTTCCCAAGGAGGACTCTTTATGTACTGCTTAAGGAAACTTTCCTGAACACATTTAACAAATTCCACCCCATCTACATCTTAACATTATGGCAATCCCAGTCTGTTAGGAAAATTAAAATCTCCCACTATGACAACCCTATTGCACCTGCAAGTCTCCTCAGTCTCCCTGCAAATTTGTTCTTCTAATTCCCGATGATTATTAGAGGACCTACAGTACAACCCCAATAATCTGACTATCCCCTTCTTATTTCTTAGCTCTACCCACAAAGCCTCACTGGATTATCCCTCAGTTATTTCACCTCTGACTGCTGCTGTGATACTTCCCTTAATCAAAAATGCAATTCCCCCTCCCCTCTATCCTCCACCTCTGTACTGCCTAAAGCACCTGTACCCGGCACATTAAGCTGCCAGGCCTGTCCCTCCCTTAGCCATGTTTCTGTAATGGCTATAATATCCCAATTCCATGTACCTACCCACGCCGAGTTCATTGGCCTTACCTGCCAGCCCTTTTGCATTGATATAGATGAAATTTAATCCAACATTCCTCGCTCTCTGTTCTGTTCCATCCTGACCTGTCTTTTCAACTTGCTATTTCTGATTGCTGTATCTCTTTCCAGTCTCACACTTGCCTCCCTACTGTTTAAGATCCCATCCCCGTGGCCAATCTAGTTTAAACCCTCCCTTGCAGCACAAGCAAATTTACCCATTAGGTTATTGGTCCCCCTCCAGTTCAGGTGCACCCCGTCCCTCTTAAACAGGTGATCTCTGCCCCTGAAAAGATCCCAATGATCCAGGAATCTGAATCCCTGCCCCCTGCACCATTTCTTTAGCCAGCATTCATCGGCCATATCCTCATGTTCTTAACCTCATTAGCACGTGGCACTGGAAGTAATCCAGAGATTACCAACTTCGAGATCCTGGTTTTTAACTTTTTTTTTTAGAAGGCAGCTCGCCTCAGCACTCAGCAACTTCTGTGGCCATCTTTGAGCTGCGTCCAGGGTAGCAGGCCCTAGAATCTTGCCATTCAGGGCACATTCTTCTGAGTTGAGTGTTGTCCTGCATACATACATCAGGAATGAAAACGCAGGCCCAAGTGTTGTGCTATTTGTTAGCTTTGTATCAAGAAGATGTAATTAAGTTCTATTAAAGTGTCCATTTATTGTAAATTATGGTTTTTAATAATCTATTCAATAGTTTATAGCCTATCCCATTGTCTGAGGTGTTGAGTCCAAACATCCAGACTTCAGCATGCCTTGCCCATTCAGTTAAGCTTTCTAAGAGTTGGTTACACCACATAAAGCCCTCTTGGACTGTCCACCTCTCTGATTTATCAGTCTTGTGTCATCCTGGGAGCCAAAAGAACAGCTAGATTCTTTTTTGTAATACTGATCTTAATTACTCTCCCAACCTTGGTGCTTTATCTCTCATTGACTCTTTTACAGCCTTTTACACAATTGTTGCCATGCTATTCCTCTCCAGTGTCTGTCCTGTATTTTCATGCTTGAGAGTGCCTTCACTTCATTCTACATTACCCATCAAATTGCAGCTGGACTGCAACTTTCAGGGTCTTTAATGCTCCACCCTTGAGCTGTTCTCTTCCTTACCTGAATATAACGCCTTGATAATAACATCAGCGAACTTTGGATCAACATCCACAAATCTGCTAATATTTATCTCTGTTCCTTCGTCCATTATAGCATCCTCTTCTTTCCCAGAATGGTGAAGTTAAGGCTCCTTTAATGATTTATCTGGGAATCTAACAGTGAGGCAAAAATGGTAAGGTAAAACAGAATTGTAGATGCTGGACATATGAAACAAAACAAATTACTGGAGAAATTCAGCAGGTGTAGTGATTGGAACAAAGTGAATCTTGTTGACTACAAGATCCTTGAATGGAACTGTTAACCTGGGCCAATCAGGAAGCCCTAGCTGACCAATATAAACTGGGGATTTGGAATCTCCTCAGTATATGGAACTGACTCTGAGCTGGCTGGGCACAGGCAGTGTACTGAGCACAAGTAAACAAAGGGTGACTGAGTGATGGGATACCAGCCTCTGTGCAGTTATTTCGGCAGGTCTGACAGCATCTGTGGGGAGAAAGTAGAATTAACTTTTCAAGTCTGGTGACCCTCTATCATGGATCACTGTAGACATGGTTGATGTGGAGTAACTTGCAATGAGCTCTTCAGACTTAGACTCCAATTGAGTATTTTTTTTATGGTGAACAGACAACAGACTGCAATTACCAGCTCCAGCTAGTAACGTCTGATAGTTCCTGAACAGTAAACTGTGGTACATTACTGAGCTTTGCTCTTGTAGCACAGTATGTTGAAAAATTACCGTTACCACTCGATGCTATTTTAACATTTACCAGTAAGGAAAAGACAGTGCTTTCTGACACCCAGAAGCATGTGCAGTGGCAGCAAAACCTTTTTAAATATATTCAAATGTTGATAAATACCTGATAAATTCCTAAAAATTTAGAAAGGAAAACAGGGTTAACCAAAGTAGAACTTTTTTAAAGAATTTCAAAAATCAGTTGAATGTGCGATTTTAAGAAAAATGGAGGTAAGCATGTGCAGTCATCATTCATTAGTAGGATCATTGATGTCAGCAATCATGTTGAGAGAAAATTGCATTCTATAAAATGTGGAAGCATAGAACCTTGATGAAAATATGAATGAGAAAATCAGCATATCTGATTAATGAGAACTCAAATATTGGCAGCAAAATTCTGCACGTTTGATTCCCAATCAGAGTTTGGAACCTACTGTCACACCATAGCCCCTAGAAAATCAGAAGTTTCTTGGAATAAAATTATTTTCCAAAAACATACATTCCATGATAGCACTTGAAAACATAGCAACCTAGTAACTCATTGTTATTCCTGCAGCATTTGACACACTGCTCAGGCCAAAGTCATCATAATGTGCAAGATGTATCTTAATTATCAGGGATCATCAAATGCTAAAATGTTGAGAGGACTGTATAGAATGGATAGGAAAGCTCAATTACTTTTGGCTGAAGGATCTGGAATCAGAAGCACAGACTTGCGGAGGGAGTGGAATGTTTTGAGTCAATTTGAGAAGAAATATTTGCACTCAAAGTGAGGGGCATCTGGAGCTCATGACTGTACAGGTGCAGAGGCAGAAACCCTCATTGCTGATAGAAAGTATTTGAATGTGTTCTTAAATTGCTGTGACCTACAAGGCTACAGACTAATAGCTGGAAAGTAAGATTAGACTGGATGGCTACTTGTAAGCCATCCTGAACTAAACGGATTTCTTTTGTACTTCAAATATCTATGATTCTAAGGCTAGTGACATTTTTAATTACAATACCTCAGGTTAATTGGAAACTGATTTTATAGACAACTGCAAGAGAATTTCGGCTGTAGCATATGCTGTGATTCTATTTGTTCTCTTGAAACTTGGGCTTCTCATTAAAGTACGTTGATACTTTCTGCTGAAAGTTATGAGAAAGGTGGCATGGCAGAACACACAAAAAAAATCTTTGTGGTCTCTGGTAAACAACAAGCTCCATACATGTAAGTAGAAATATTTCTAATTCACTTCAAGCGAAAATACAGAGTATCCAAACATTCTCTGGAACAGCAGTGGAAATCCCACTTACGCCCTCAGTTGAGATTTATGTTCACTTTGAACAATAGTATCCTGTAGCAACTCCAAGGAGATATCTAACCTGATTCAGGTTAGATCCTGGCTGGATTTAATGTGGCACTAGGGTCCTAGCTCGCACCCCTGGCTTATGCTTTGTAGATGATGGCCAGACACCAGGGAGACAGGAGGTGAGTTACTCACTGTAGAATTACCAGTCTGATCTGCTGTTGTAGCCACAGTATTTACATAGCTAAACCAGTTCAGCTTCTGGGTAATGGTAATCCCCAGGATGTTAGTAGTGGGAAATTCAATGATGCTAATACTGTTGACTGTCACAGAGAGATGGTTGGATTCTCTTGTTGGAGGAGGCCATCATCCATCACTTGTTGTTTTGAATACTATTTACCACTTAGTAATACAAGCCTGAATGTTCTCCAGGTCTTTATGCATAGAGACAAAGACTGTTTTAATACCTGAGAAATTGCAGATCGTACTGAACACTTAATTAGTAGTAATCACAAATAATCACTGTTCAATGATCAGTGAACATCCTCACTTCTGACATTATGACCGGAGAAATTCATTTGCAAAGCAACAATCGCTTCATACAGCTGAGAAATGAGAGAGCTTAAAGGGCAGTACTATCTTAGTGAAACTAGCTACTTGCAAAAAAAGTTAGCATTCTCCCTATGGGTGAGTGCTAGAGTGCAGTTTCCAGAATCCAGGATTGCAGGCTGGACAGTGCTTTTAAAAGGCTGCACAGAAGTTTCAGCAGCTGGCACCTGTTTCAAACTTATTTTACACAAATGAACATGCATTTAAGCATATCCAGGCTTCCTCTGCCAGTTCAATATTTTCTTTACCAGGGCAGGTGTAAATTTGTATAAATTTTCTTTAGCAGGTATAAATTTGACCAAGAAAGTTCAAGACCAAACTCTTAGTTTTTCAAGAGAACTTTTAAGTTGTTAGCAAACCTGTTATTATGTGCAATAAAGTCTTTGGGTTCTGTCAGATGACCAGTTTTCCAGGCTAACTGTTTGCAATAACCCGAGCTAATGTGGCACAGGATGTCATCAAACAGGTCCATGGGCATGACTTGAAAAAGTCACCAATTAAAAATAGGGTTTTGGTTGCTCTCTGATTTATAAACTGAAGATGCTATAAAACTTCTATTTTCCAGAGTTTCACTTTAATTTCCCTTTAATTTTAAAGAACGGATGAATTAATTCAGAAGACAATTCGAGAGAAGTTTGAACAGTGTACAGTGCTGACAATCGCTCATCGGCTTAATACAATTATTGACAGTGATAGAATTCTGGTAAGGTGCAACAACACAAACTTCCTTCTAGCTCTTGTTATTGTTTTAGCCTGAGTACAATCTAGATGTGACATTGTCGTGGGGTGTGGGCAGAGTCTTCCTATTGTTTGTATAGGGCTTACATTCAAATGATGCAATAGTGACATTGTGATCACAGCACATGGTGCCAATATTTATCATGCCAATCAATGTTCAATAATGCAGTCAGGTCAGTACCTTTACTGTCCACAGTAAAAGCAGCCCCTGGGCTCCTTGTCTTTTAAGTAGCAATGTGGCTAATTAATCTTGATGTTGCTTCTTGCTTGGATTGAAGTTAGAACAGTGTTCCAAAACATTTTCCCAGTGTGACCCACAGATTGGGAATCTCTCAGCTAGAAGGTGAAGGGCAATTAAATACAGTTTTAGTTGACTCTTGTTAAAAGTATAATGGTACCTATGAGTTTAGGTATTTAATTTTGTTGTCTCCGGAAACAAGATGTAATTAATTATATTTTGACTTTTAAAGTTAGTTGATATCCATTACACACACAGAAAACAGAGCAAATACAGTTTTACAAATTTACTTGTAAACAGTGGCCTTGCTACCATATTTAAATTAAAGATTTTAGTGACGTAACAGACAAAAGGTTGCAGTAACTGTCTAATGTCTTATAGAGAATATATTGAAGTAAACGTAATAATATGTATCTTGAAAGCAGTTGCACTCTTTGTGCTATAGACATTGTGGAATTTTTGAAAACAGAAAAAGAAATTACTGACTTGATTGCTAATGAAGTGTGGCAAATAAGTGTGGCAGTGCAGATTACAGTGATTAAAACCATTTAATGCAGTTGCTAAATATAGCTGTTGCTCAAGAATTTTGCAAGTCTCTTTATGCTGCCTAACATGTTGGGACGTGCACTTTAATGAGTCAAAGAATAAGCTGTAACTTGGTTTTCACGGACAGGTCACATGCACTACATTTGTACATTTGTTTGCCTCTGTGAAATATGAAAAAGGCATCTGCAATCAGAACAATAATGTGTTATTCAAGGAGTCATTGATGAGGTGCAGCATGGTGGCTCAGTGGTTAGCACTGCTGCCTCACAGTACCAGGAACCTGGGTTCGATCCCACCCTCGGGTGACTGTCTGTGTGGAGTTTGCACATTCTCCCCACGTCTGTGTGGGTTTCCTCCAGGTGCTCTGGTTTCCTCCCGCAGTCCAAAGATGCGCGGGCTAGGTGGATTGGCCATGCTAAATTGCCCGTAGTGTTCAGGGATGTGTAGATTAGGGGGTTGAGTTTGGGTGGGCTGCTTTGGCGTGGACTTGTTGGGTCAAAGGGCCTGTTTCCACACTGTGTAAGGATTCTATGATAAGAAATCTAATGGCTGCTGTTCTCCAGCCTGACCTCTACATAGTTGGTAAAATAGCTCCACAATGGGAGTTCAATAAGCAGCTTAAGCAAGTGGAAATTGAGTTATCCTGTTTACAAATTTTGGAAGCTAGTTTTTAGAACATGAATCTGAATTAGTATAGGAGGAAGTTTCCATTCTAAATAACATCATTAACTAATATAGATTGACGTTTATTTTTTAAAAATGGGGTGTACCTGGTGTTCTGTCTGATATTAACTAGCTTCAGTATGATACTAAAGCCTTTTTTTAGTCCATCATAACTTCACTCATGATTCTTCAGTTTCCCTTTCTGTGTGACTGAAATCGAAACATGCGCACAATCTTTCTTGTGATCCAGGGATTTGTCAGTCATCGCACACATGCAAAAAAATTGAACAGAATGAGCAACAAACACCAATTATTTCATTTATTTGATTTTGTTATGTTTCCCTTATATGTACAGTGCTATATATAACCTATCATGGGAACTGAAATATTTAAATACCTCACATTAAGTTAGATATTCCTCAGTTGCAGTTCTTGAATATAGCACAGCAGGGCTATTAGGGGAAAAGTGAGTAAACAAAAACAATATAAAGCACTATAAACATTGAAAAGAATGGAACATTTTTACCTCTAGCATTTCATAGTTTTGTTTTGTTCCATCAACAGCTTCACCGCAATCTGGTGAAATAATTAATTCACGGAATGCAAGTAACCAGAATTTATTGTCCAGCCCTAACTGTCCCTGATAAGGTGGTGGTGAGCCACCTGCCTTGAACAATTGTAGTCCTTTGCCATAAGGACTTAACAGGCCATTTCAGAGGGCAGTTCAGAGTCAACCACATTGCAATAGTACTGGAGTCAGCGTAAGCCAGACCAGGGAAGGACAATAGACTTCCTTCCCTAAAAGATTGAAATAATAAAGGGTTTTTAGAGCAATCCAATATTTTTATTATTCATTACAATTAGATCACTGTTATTGAAAGCGGCTTTCTTTTTTATATAGTTTGCTATTTAATTAACTGAGTTTAATTTTCACATCTGCTAAGGGTGAGATTTGAATTCATATTTCCAGATCATTAGTCCAGCCTCGGGTTTACTAAATTCAAGACACGGTGGTTCAGTGGTTAGCACCACTGCCTCACAGCGCCAAGGACTCGGGTTCAATTCCACCCTCCGGTGACTGTGTGAAGTTTGCACATTCTCCTCATATCTGTTTGGGTTTCCTCCGGGTGCTCCATTTCATCTCAGCAGTCCAAAGATATATAGTCAGATGGATTGGCCATGCTAAATTGCCTATAGTGCCAGGGATGTGTAGGTTAGGTGAGTTAGCCATGAGGAATGCAGGGTTATAGAGATAGGGTAGGGAATGGGTCTGACTGGGATGCTCTCCAGTGTGGACCCGATAGGCTAAGTGGCCTGCTTCTATACTATGGATTCTATGAATAACATAACACCATACTACCACCCCAAATGTGTTTGTTTTTCCACCGTCTCAAAATAGGAAGATCCTGTAAGAGCACATGTAGCATTGAGAGCCTTCTGTTTGATTCCTAAATCATTATAACAGCTAAATATTGACAGCTAATTGCACACTGGCTTAAAGAATTAGGGCTCAGCTATAGAAGTCACAGAGTCATAGAGATGTACACCAAGGAAACAGACTCTTCAGTCCAACTTGTCCATGCCGACCAGATATTCTAAATTAATCTAGTCCCATTTGCAGCATTATCCCTCTAAACCCTTCCTATTCATATACCCATCCAGATGCCTTTTAAATGTTGTAGTTCAACCAGCCTCTACCACCTCTTCTGGTATCTGATTCAATGTACACACCACGCTCTGCGTGAAAATGTTGTCCCTTAGGGCCCTTTTAAATCTTTTCACATCTTAAACCTGTGCCCTCTTATTTTGGACTCCCCTACCCTGGGAAAAAGATCTTGGCTATTCACTTTATCCCTACCTCTGATGATTTTATAATCCTCTGTAAAGTCATCCAATGCTTCAGGGAAAATAGCCACAGCCTATTCAGCCTATCCCTACAGCTCAAATTCTCCAACCCTGGCAACATCCTTGTAAATCTTTTCTGAACTCTTTCAAGTTTCACAACGTCTCTTCTATAGCAGGGAAACCAGAATTGAATGCAGTATTCCGAAAGTGGCCCAACCAATGTCCTGTATAGCAGTAGCATGACCTCCTAACTCCTATAATCAATACACTGGCTAATACACTGGAAGTGCACCAAACACCTTCTTCACCACCCTGTCTACCTGCAACTCCACTTTCAAGGAACATAGAGCCTGCACTCCAAGGTCTCTTTACCATTAAGTGTATAAATCCTGCCCTAATTGGCCATACCAAAGTGCTGAACCTCACATTTATCTGAATTAAACTCCATCTGCCACTCCTTGGTCCATTTGCCTATCTCATCACGGCCTTGTTGTACTCTGAGATAACCTTCTTCCCTGTCCACTACACCACCAATTTTGGTGTCATCGGCAAACTTATTAACCACTCGTCCTATATTCACATCCAAACCATTTATATAAATGATAAAAAGCAGTGGACCTTGCACCGATCCTTGTAGCATACCGCTGGTCACAGGTCTCCAGTCCAAAAAGTGACCCTCCGTCATCACCCTCTGTCTCCTACCTTTGAGCCAATTTTGTATCCAAATAGCTAGCACTCCCTGTATTCCATGTGATCTAATATTGCTAACCAGTCTGCCATGCGGAACCTTGTCAAACACCTGAAGTCTGCATAGACAACGTAAAAACAGAAAGAACTGCAAATGCTGTAAAACAGAAACAGAAACAGAAATTGCTGGAAAAGCTCAGCAGGTCTAGCAGCATCTATGAAGAGAAATCCCAGTTAACATTTCAGGTCCAGTGACCCTTCCTCAGAACTGTTCTCTGATTTTTCCTCACAGATGGTACCAGACCTGCTGAGTTTTTCTAGCAATTTCTGTTTTTGCTCCATATAGACAACGTCCGCCGCTCTGCCTTCATCAATCTTTTTTGTCACTTCAAAAAATTCAAGCAAGTTATTTGTGAGAGACGATTTCCCACACACAGTCATGTTGACTGTCTCTAATCAGTCCTTGCCTTTCCAAATACGTGTAAATCCTGTCCCTCAAAATCCGCTCCAACAACTTACCCACCACTGACGTCAGGCTCACCTGTCTATAGTTCCCTGGCTTTTCCTTTCATAAGCAATGGGACCATGTTAACCAATCGCCAGTCTTTTGGCACCTCACCCGAGGTTATCGATGATACAAATATCTCAGCAAGGGGCCCAGCAATCATTCCCTACCAAACAGACTCCTGCCGTTTATGGCAAGGCCTAAATGACATTATGGGATACAAAATGAAGCAGAACAAGATACTGGACAAAGACACATCCCTCCCTGACAGGCTCGATGCTTTCTATGCTTGGTTTGAGCAGAATACCGCCGGCGTGGCAACGCTGCCCTGACAGCCCTAGACACGCCTGTTCCCTCTGTCACTGCTTCAGAAGTCAGATCAGTCTTCCTCGGAGTCAACCCAAAGGAAGTGACCGGCCCAGACGGTATCCCAGGCCGAGGATTCAGATCCTATGCGGCCCAACTGGTGGAGATATTCACC